GCTACTTATCCCCAACCTCTCCTAATGAAGCAGACCAACAGATTTCCGGCAGCAGAGACTATAAAATATTTGAATTTATATATCAAATTATATTGGATATTCTAAACAGGTGATATATATATATATATATATATATATATATATATTTAAAGTTGCATTTTATTTTATTTTATTTTATTTTTATTGGCAGGACCGGGGATTGAACTCAGGCCCTTGCGCTTGCCAGGGAAGCACTTATTCTACTGAGCCATCTCCCCTGCCCCTATATATTTATTTTTAATTTTTTATTATTTTTTATTTTAGTGTAGGGTCTATAGGGACTATAGGTTTTCACTACACAGATCAGACTTGTACTGATTCTCCTGTTTTCAGCTTTCCAAGTGCTGGGATTACGGGTGCTTGCCACCATGCCCAGTCTCAATCGCTGTCGCAGCGCTCCCTGGGGACGGGCTGGCATGGCAGGCCAGGGATTGAACCACCATCACCTCTGTATCTGCCTAAGCAGGCACTTTTACTGAGCTATCTGGCTGGCCCTAATATATTTTTGAACAGTCCACTTCACAGGTACTGTTAGAAACTTGGGGAAACAGGATTATTTAGAATGACCTATACCTTTTAAAAATGACCTCTTATGAAACACATTATTAGGGGTAACTAGGAACTCATTTGTTTGGTTGGTTGTCATGACCTTGAGAAGCTAACTCCCAGCTCTTATCTGTGGGGTGATAATACATTATTTTCCTGGTAGGGTACATACGGAAATTATTAATATAATGTACTTACATAACTATAATTTTGGTATTAAGAATTTAATAAGTTTAAAGGCCAGCCCGACAGCTCAGTGGACTAAAGCTCCTGCTTACGAAGAGTGCAGTGGCCAGGGTTCAATCCCTGGCCTGCTGTGCTGGCCCTGTCCCCAGGGCACGCTGAGGCAGTGGATTGAGACTGGGTGTGGTGGCGTGCGCTTATAATCCCAGCACTTTGGAGGCTGTATACAGGAGAATCACTTGAGTCCGATCTAGTAGTGAGACGCTGTACACCCTGTAGACCCTGCCCTAAATACAGAAAAAAAAAAAATAAATTTAAAAAATTATGCTGATAACGTCTGTGTGTGTGTATGTGTGTGTGTGTGTGTGTGTGTGTATTTTCTCTCCTGGCATCAGTTTTAATTTGGGGGGAAAACCCTTCTCGGTCCTTAAGGTTGTGTGTAATACTATATTCATTATTTCTTTTTGTAGTAAAATAACCCAGGATTTTAACTGTATGGGATTTTAAAATCAGTTATATTCATAAGCAAGTTTTTTGCTTATTCATAATAACTGTATCATCTTTTTTTTTAATATTTATTTATTTTTATTTATTACATTTATTTATTGTGTGTGGCCAGCTCCGCCCACCAGGGGGCGGGTCTGGCTGGCATGTGGTGCTGGGGATTGAACCATGGTCCCTGTGCTTTGCCAAGCTTGTTTCAAGTAGGTGCTTTAGACCACTGAGCCATCTCTCCAGCCCCAATAACTGTATCATCTTTCTGCATTCTCACAATTGAGCAACTCCTGGACTAGTATTTAGGATGGCCTAAAAACTCAATTTATGGACAATAACTGCCAGTGGGAAAGGTATTCTTGTTTCTTTTACTGATTGAAGATTATGTATGGAATAACTGAATACATTGGCACTGCCTTATCCATTTAGCGATATTTATTGTCCACTTTGTGTCTGGCAACAAGTTTGGCTTGGGAAGAGAGCAAAAACCTTATAAATAACTAGCCTTGTGGATGTTATCTAGAAGCGTGCCAACGGGAACAAAATAGCTTGTTGAGTTAGAATAAGTGGTTCGTTCAGGGAAAAATGTAGTGTTTCTCATAGGAAATGCTGTTGAACTGTAGCATGAGCGAGGAAAAATATACATCAAGGGAGCAGTTGCGAAGATTCTCCAAACTTCCAACCTGGTTGGAGCATATGATAAATTATGTCTGCTACAGAGTGGCTTAATTTCTTCAATGCAGCAAATGATTGACATGAGGAAAAAAGCTGGAGAAAGCACATATTTATGACACGAAGTAACACACTTGTGTCACCATTTCAGTGCTAATTGCCAGGTCCATTTTTAAATGTAACAAACTGTGACATTAGTGTCTCTGGGCAATAGTAATGCTCACCATTTTAAGTTCCATGAGATTTCCATTATACTGAGTGAACTATACTTTTGATATTTGAGAGTAAAATGTGTGGTTTCTGCTCTGTAACTGTTCATAAAATCTGTCTCCTTGGATATATAAGGCAAATCTAGAAAATTAATGCACAATTCAGGAAAATAAGACAGCCTATTAAAATGGCACTGGTTGGTATTAAGAGAGCTTTTATCTGATCAGGGGAATTTTGAAACAATTAATGTAAAAACATGCCATCTAAGCTTCGCCTTAAGACTTAGGAAGAATATGGACAGAAAAATGGTAGAGAGAGCAGAAGGAAGAGGAAGGTGTTCTAGATAAAGTTTGGCTTGAGACAAGGAATAGATAAAGAGAACAATTGCCCAAAGCTAAACATGATGCTCAACTGATCAGGATTTCCTTATTTTAAAACCATAATGTAGGGCTGGGTGGATAGCTCAGTAGAATAAGTGCTTGCTTGGCAAGCACAAGGTCCTGAGTTCAATCCCTGGTATTGCAAAAACACAAAACAAACAAAACCCCCACAAAAAACCATAATGTATTGTTTGTTGGGCACAATAAATGGAATAATGAACATCATAACCAGTTTAAACTTCTATGTCAGGAAATAACGGTTCCTTTCTGCTCAGATATCTCACCTAGAATCACGCTAGAGGCTTATTCCTACCCTTTGGGGTCAGTACCCTGTCATCTTTAGGACTGAAAACCATCTCTAGAAAAGCAGGGTTTCTATGTTTCCTTTTATGCTTGTCCACATTTTAATGGGAATATCTATCTATCTATCTATCTATCTATCTATCTATCTATCTATCATCTATCTATCTGACTATATAGAGAGATGGGGGGAAGAACACTAAGATAGGGTTCTCATTCTTAGATGAGGCATTAAAAGTGAGTATTCTGGGCTGGGAGATAGCTTGGTGGCTTCAGTGTCTGCCTAGCAAATGCAAAGTCCTGAGTTCGATCCCTGGTGCCTACACTGTGCTGGCCACTGAAACTGGGCATGGTGGCACACGCTCATAACCCCAGAGCTAGGGAGTCTGAGATGGGGATCACTATGAGTCTGAGCTGTGTAGTCAGATCCTGTACCAAATAAATAAATAAATGATTAAAAAAATTAAAAAAAAATTTATGGTTGAAAGAGTAATGGACTCACTCATCTAATGCCAGAAAGCTGAAGTTATATTCCAACCAGGTCTGTGTGATTTAAAAACTCATTTCTATTCTACTCTATGGCTTTTAACCAGTGGTGTGTATTTCAATTACCTGAAGAACTTTTAAAAATGAAAATTTACTTAGTTTTTAATCAAATAGCATATAGTTAAAAATAAATAATATTGTTATGTTGGTAGCAAAAAACAGTAAACCTTTAGCTTTTCTTTTCTGCCCAATTTTCTTTCTCCAGAGACAACCACATCCTAACTCCTATATATCTGTGTATCTATATCTATATTATTATTTTTAAAGGTAGACACTGGTCACAGTGGTGTGCATCTATAGTCTGAGTACTCTGGGAGGCTGAGACAGGGGGATATGAAGTTAACAGTCCAGTAGCCAGGTCCATCAGTGAAACATTGTCTTTAAAAAAAAAAAAAAAAAAAAAAGTTATGTGCTGTGTTTGTAGGTGTGGGATGAGGGGTAGGGATACAGCTCAATGTGGGGCCTTGAAGTTAATCCCAGGGCTGCAAAACAAAGAGCCCAACTCCCTTGCCAAAACCAAGTAATTCACACTGCTTTTCTGAACTTTCTTATATTGTTATTTTCAGGGCTGAAGATTAAAGCAAGGGTCTCCTGTGTGCCAGCCCTCTAGGTTAGATTTTGATCAACTTTCTCCTGTCAGTCATGCATCTTTCTCTCTCATTTTCTCTAAGTTACACAATCATTTTTTGTTAAATCAGTGGCTGGCTTTTAAATAACTGATTTTATAAAAGTAGTATCACAGATGAAATACACAGGTTGTGACTTTTATTTTTCCTGGTGTTTATTATTATAGCAGTTTTGTTTTCTTAAATTTGAAAAATCTGAAGATTACTAATTCATTTAGACTTTGAAAAACAGAAAGTCTCCAATATATTCAAATACAGGAGGTATCTTTTAACAGTTTTTCTTTTAAACTGAACCCTCTATCTTCCAGCATTTTGTTCACTTTATACTTTTCTCCCCTATCAAGTTTCCCCGTTAATACAGTTATATTACTGTTTTAGAAACTTTATGACTTATATTTTGCCTTTCCTCCACAACAGATTACTTTCTTTCACACTGACAATTTGTAAGAACATTAGAACCATTTTATTTACCTTCTTCTCCCTTTACCAGCATTGTCACTTGTCCACGTATTTGTACATCACAGCTAACACATTTACATTCTATTTTGTAGCCATGATTTAGTATTCCTTTAAGGATGAAGACTATATACAACATTTTCATTGCAATTATTTGCTATTCACGAAATATCTAATATTTTATACAATGACTACATTTCCTTTTCTCTGGTCCCAAGGTCCGAGCGCTGTTCACAGGACATTAGACGTCATTTTCGCATGCTTCCATCATTTGTTCAAAATCTTGCAGGGTATCAAGTCCGATATTTAGAAGATGTGTGTCCTGTATAAATGTGTTTTTTACTGAGAATTTCAATATTTTTTTCTTGTGGGGTGAAGAAATACATGACTTCCACCTCATGCCCTGAATACCATGGGTGTCTTATTCGGTGTCTAGTCTACAATCCAGTCCAGTATTTCAGAAGTTCATTGACTGCTGAATTTCAATTCATAGTGTAAGTCTGTTGTTCATTTAACTTTTTTTTTCTGCAAATTTGGCCTTTTTTTAATAATGCAACCTGCGGCCTTTCTCTTGTCCCGAAATCTGTCCGAAGTTCATATTCAAGATACGCAGCTTCTCAACCACGTCCGCGGGTCTCAGCTGAAGGGCCTCCTTCCCACAACCGCATCTCCCCTAGGCAGTGTCTACAGCACTCCGTCCACCGTCCCGGGGACCGCGCGGAGCGACAGCGCACGCGCAGTTGGCGCCGGCGAAATCTCGCGAGAGCGAGGCTCACAGCGCCGCGGGCCTCCCGAGAGTCCGCCATCCTGGTGGCTTCCGGAGTCCCTCAGCTTGCTCACGGCTTTATATGTGTACCTGTAAGCGGATGTTCAGGATCACGGAGCCTGCGACGTAGAAATAGGGGAAGTTGATGCGCAGCTGCCAGGCCAGCTCGAAGAAGGCGAGGAGGGTGCGGGAGAGTCCTTTGCAAAAGACCCCGTACGAGGAGGGGGCGGCTGCTGGGCTTGAGGCCCTGACGGCCAGGGAGGACGGAGCGGCGGCGGGGGCCATGGAGCAGCCGTCAGCGCCCGCCCAGCGTCCGAAGCCGAAGGCCCCTGCAGCCTCCCAGCGCAGCCTCCCAGCGCAGCCGGGACCCGCGGGAAAAGCGGCCGCCCAGCTCGCATCTGCGCGCCCCGCCGCGGCCGCTCGCTCCGGTGTGGCGCTGGCGGATGGGGCGCTCCGCCCCTTCCTGTGGGCTGCGGATGGCGTTGGGAGTTCAGCCAGTGGAAGAGCTGCAGCCGGCGATGTTATGTAATTCGCACGGACAGCCGCACCAGATATTTTCACTTTAAAGTGAAAAAGCTAAGTGACTTTATGTAATTTCCTCAAGGGGACATTTTGTAAAGCCTAGGTCGGGTTTTAACTGCTGTTTGTCTGCTATGTGTTTGCTACCTATTTGACATATTTGCCTGTACTGCTAGGGCGAGATGCCCTTGTTACATAAGCTAGTGCAGACATACTCTATTCGTTACACACCATAACTGTAATGAAAGGTCACTGTCATAGGCTGTGGGTTTTCCTGTGTATTAGGACTGTTTAGCTTGCAAGTGGCAAATTAGTAAAGCAAAACGAACAGTAACACCTCCCAGCGCGCATATATATATATATATATATATGTAATTTCCATACATACGGTGATCAAATTAAGTGTGGAATTTCCACATATTTCAGCATGCAGATGCACATGAGAGACCTGGGCTAGGCTGCAAGACCTGAAATATTGCTAACATTTCAAGTACTTCCATACCCTTAAAACCCTTAAATTCACGTAATGGGTCTCCCATAGCCACATTGCTTTTATGAGGTTTAAATGATGGACATTTCATTACCTTCACTAAGCTTTCGTCTTAACTAGAAAGCACTGTAGCTGTCATCAGTATAACCGACATTCATGGATTATTGCACGTGCATGTTTGTGATCCTAACCTCCGATTACAGTCTAATTCTGAAAATCTTTGTTCACACGTCCTGTATTTCACCCTGTAGTGGCTATGATTATCTGTAGTGGCTATTCAGCTTATAATTATTGTAGCCAAGTGTACTTCTGTATATTCTCATGACACACCTGATAGAAATAGTAGTTCATTTGGCAATTTGTAAAGCTTAATTGTGTGCCCCTAGCTACAGTTTCTTTTGCTATGGTACCAGTAGCACCCCAGCAGCTAGAGAAATTGATTATTTCTGACAGCCTCTAAATCACTGGTATAGCCCTTGAAGGGCAGTGCAAAATGAACGAGCAGGAGAGAATGTGTAGTTTCAATGCACACTTAAAATTTATTCTGTCTTGAAACAAACAGTTCGTAGAGCTGTTCAGCAATCACAGTTGCAGAAGTTGTTAAGTCCCTGCATCTTTCACCTCCAACTGTATAAGACTATGTGTTCTGTCTTACATTTTTCCCTTGTACCACTCTGTTCTCATGCCTGGCCCTGATTAGCATAGAAAAAAACCACTTTGTCTCTAGGTATTCGTCATTTAAAACCCTTTGTTCTGCTTTCTACCTACAAAGTATTTTAAAGTCAAGGTAGCTAATTTTTTTCAACCATTTTTCTCAGGATGAAGTGTAGAATTAATTACATAATTATGTTAATTATGTTTCTAATGGAGGCTTCAGTCTATCAACATTTCATTTAGAAACAAATTTGGTGTCGTGTGAAGACGTCTCACTAAAAATGTGAAAAGACACAGACCTTGTAAGCTATAATCTCTCATTTTTCTTTCTTGAATAAATAGTATTGAAAAAAATTTATAGCAAATCTGATTTACTTACATAGAATATTTTAATAGCTAAATGTATACTCGTTTCTAAAAAAAATTTTTTTCTCTGTTCTTCCCCTCCTTTACTTTTTTTAGATATGGAATGTACATAGTAATTGTCAAATTATTAAGATCTATTTTATCCCTGGTTACAAAAGCCGGTGACATTCCATGAAACATCATCTATCAATTTTTCATTAAATATTAAAAAAATTAACAAGCTTGTAAACCGTGCATATGGAAGAGTAACATATATATGTGTGTTTGTGTATGTGTGTACATATTCATACATGTATTAAGGGAAATAATTTGAGAATTCTAGAGTGTAGGAAACTGAAAAATTGCCTCTGTTCTTTAACCAGGAGAATAAACTACTGGGCCACAAAGTCACAGTTTATTTTGAACTCAGCTGAAATTGCAAGGTAGGCAGGTAAACTGAATTATAAAAGATGATGAGCTCTTCCAGGTAAAATACATGAATTGTTTTATCTTGGTAGAACTGAGAAGTATCTACCATAAATGTCAGAAATTATTGGTGCAACTTTAACCAATTATTGTATTGGATAATAGCAGGTTATAGATTCAGCTTAAAATTCCTGGAAACCCCAGATAGTGATATGTAATTGCCACTTCTTTTCTCTGGACCTCTAGTAAGAGCTTACAGGAAGGACTGGAGACAGGCGAAGAGATCTAAAAGAGATTTTTTTTCATACATGGCTTGGTAGACAGAATAATGCCCTTCCAAGGGTTTTTCCTTTCTAATTCTGGGAATTTACATGGTGTGAGAATTTTGCAGATGTGATCAAGGATATGCACCTGGATTATTTAGGCTGCTCTAGTTAGAAAGCTCTTAAATGTAGAGCCTTTGTCTTAGCTAGAGAGAGGGATGAAGGAAGAGGAGAGGAGAAGTGCCAAAAGCATCAGATTATAAATGGTTTCTAGTAGCTGGAAATAGCAAGGATATTGATTTTCCCTTATGGCCTCCAGAAAGCAGTGTAACTCTGATTGCTGACAGCTTGAATTTTAGCTAATTGAGTCCTGTGTCAGAATTTTGATGTATAAAACTAGAAAATTGTTGTTGTTTAAGTTACTGAATTTTTGATAACTTGTTATAGCAGCAGGAGAAACCTTAAGTATGTAAGAATATGGATATGGTTTACTTAAGTTTGAAGGTGGAACTAAATACTTGCAAAGGGGTTGAGGATGTATAGTTCAGGGCACAGCACCTGCCTGGCAAGCACAGGTCCTGAGTTCAGTTCCCAGTATCAAAAATGAGCAAACAACTAGAGAAGCCCACCTGTATTTTAGACCCCATGTAAGTGAAAGGTAGTCATTGGCTACTGCTGGACAAGCAAGAGAACCACTCATGTTCTGAGTCCTTCAATTTGCAAAATCTGCCACTGCTGACTGAGGAGCGCTGTCCACTGAAATTTGGACCCTACTGATACCAAGCAGAAAGCTCTAGAACCATGAGGAATAAGAAACTGTACCCCCTGGAACTATAGTGACACCTGTTGGAGGTCTGCTGCTACAGAAGGACAGAAAATACTCTGGGTCCCACACTGACACTAGGCAGAAGCCATCTGCCACTTGAGAAAAGGCACAATACTATCCAAAATGGACTGTTAACAGATACCAGGCAGAAGTCATTTGCTACTACCAGAGGGCCAGTTAACCTCATGACAGACCTTCCACTGATAAAAGATGTTGATTGACTAGTATTTGGGGAGGCCAGGAAGGGTACCTGTCTTTGATTCCTTTACTGATACTAGGTAAAAGCCATGTTTTGCCACTGGGTAGGAAGAGAAAAGCCACCGTCAAGTGGGATGCTACACAGATTAGTAGTATTTTGTTATTTGGGGAGTGATGGGGACACCAGAAATCCCACATTTTGGGGAAAAGTATATAGCAGGTGATAAAGGGAATTATTGGGTGGAGAAGAAAAACACCCCATTGCTCTACTGTGAAACTGCACTGAGGTATAGGAATGTGGAAGGATTCTCCCTTTGTATTTCAGCCCTTGCAGTGAATACAAGGCTGTGACATTCTGTTGTCACAGTACTTTGAGTCCAAATGCAGATAACACATGGAATGGCTTAAGTTTCACATATGAATGGCCTGACAAAATAGGAAACATGTCCATTTCTGCATGATAATGTTTAATTCAGAATTTATTATACATATGTAAGCAAATATGCAAATCACCAGCCACTGTTAAGAGAAAACAGTGGTTAAGAGGTTGGAATTATCAGTCTTTACTCATGACTAAGCAGGGTATAGGGTGAATACCTGTAATTCCAGCATTTGAAAAGGCTGAGGCAGAAGGGTTTCAATTTAGAGCCCAGCTTTGGCACTATAGGTAGCCCCTATTTCAAAATAAAAACAGAAAAGGGCTGGGGTTGTAGCATAGTGTGAAGTCCCTGCATTCAACCTAGTGTGGGTATGCATGCACATACACACATGCACATACAGTCATGATTGTTGCTAAAAATTGGTGGAAAAAGCGATAACTTTGGAAAGGTGGGAATTACATGAAGAATTCAGATGAAAACACTGGACAACAAAAACTTGATGTTGGAGATGAGTCATTCATTTGCTAACTTATTAATTGATTGGGCACAGCAGAAACTGAGAATTAGTGGTGAGTGGAGGTGAGTTAGTGGAAAATACCTGTGCTGGAAACAAGAAAAATAAAAGGGAGAAATGGTGAAGGCAAATGGAAACACTGACAGTACTGTCTTCTTGCATTACAGGTGGTGATAAAATTGGCATAACCTCTTTGGATAACAGATATATTGTTTTAAAAATAAAAAATACTGCTAGGTCTACAGTGAAGCTTTGAAACTTGGTGGCAGCATCTAAAATTATTTAATATATGTATTATATCTAGATGCTTAAGTCTCGAATTTGCATCTTTACACTTTGTGATGACTTAGTTTTTTTATGTATTTAGTACAGGGTATACAGGGTCTCACTACACAGATCAGACTTGTAGTGATCCTCCTGTTTTCAGCCTCCCAAGTGCTGGGATTATAGGCATACATCACCACACCCAGTCTCAACATGCCCCAGTGGGGGGGGGGGCAGCATGGCATGTGGTGCTGGGGATCGAACCCTGGGCCCTATGCTTGCCTAAGCAGGCGCTTTAGTATATTGAGCTATCTGGCCTGCCCGTGATGACTTTTTGATTCCCTTCCCACATTTTTTTTTTTTTTTTTTGTATTGGAAGTTGAACTGTAGACTTTGTACTTGCTAAGCAGACACTGTGCTGCTGAGCTGTATCCCTTGCTTGATGCTTTTTAATAATTGACTTTTTTGCTTATGCCATCAGAAGAGCTGCTTTTAAAAATTTCTAATGACTTGATTCTAGTAGTTCGGATTCAAATTTTAATATGTATTTCTGTTTTTCTCATGCTGAAAAATTTGATCTCTGACAGTACACGCACATATTTTTGTGTGCATCTCTGTATATAATAGTTTCAAATTAACAATACTTGGGTTATTTTCTAGCAGTATTTTGCAGCAATTTTATGATTTCTGTTAAGGTATATCTTAATGGAGATAAAAGTCAAATTATGTTTTAAGATCATTTGATGTAATTTCACTTTAGTTAAACCATCCACCAAATAATTTCCTTTTTGTTTTTGATTTCTGGAGATTATACTTCATTTTGTAATTTTGTTTGTGATTGTTTAATGAATTTTCATGGTAGTAAAATAAAAACTTCAAAACTACTTGGAGGAGCCTAATTCCTTCTTTCATTGGTTTCCTTTCCTATAGATTAGAGCACTTACCTTTCCTTAGATAAAAT